TTACTTTTTTTTTCTTACCATTTGCTCCTCTCTTCCTCTTTTCCACATAGCCAAGGTTATCAGTGAGTTCTTGAGGCAGCTACCACAGTATCTTCAGATTCCTCTACATTTCTTGCTCTCTGAGATACGTTATCATCACAACATCAGAATTTCCTTTTGGAAATCTTTTCTTAACTCTTGGGTCTTCCTTTCTGTTAGGGTTTTGATCTAGGTATAATAGCGAGCACCATGTCTCTGGCTGATTTAACTGAATCCCCAGTATTTAGTGCACTTTTGGCACATAGTAGGTCCTCAATACATATTTCTTTAATGAATGAATATAATTTCTTAATTTTGTTTTCCTATAACATAGGGCATATATTTGACTATGTTCTTGTGCACTTCCTTGGTGACTTACAAGATAAGTAGACACTTTTATTGTTACCATTAATTTTTCTTACCAAATAGGTTTTCATTTTTGCTTTTAAAGTCAAACTTATAGTCAATATAGCAGTATCTGATTCAGATTTTGACATCTACAGAGGTATTGCTCATAACTGGACAATAAAGAAAAGCCACGGATATAAATTAACATTTATATTAAAATATATTGATATGCAACATACATAGATATATGAGTATTAGAGTTATCAGAATATATAATTTTATAAAAATTCTATGTATTCAGTCTTCAGGATGTTTTTCTTATTATCAAGATAACAATTTCATATTATCTTATTATCAAGAATGCATATAGAAGTACTTCACTATAAAAATAATAAAACAAAGTTTTAGAATAGTAGGGTGGGGTTAATTAACTTTTCTAATGCTCATCTTTGATCTGATAATAAAGATACCAAATTACTAAAAGGGAAAATCTGACATGCATGAAAGTATTGTATTCCAAATATTTACCTTTGTAGATATGAGTCATAATTTTTACTTCAATTGTGGGTATCTACAAACATTTTCTAACTTAAAAAAATAAATATAGAACAATCAACTAACAGAAAATAAAAATGCAGAATCACAGATCTGGAAAGACAATCAGCCAATCTCTCTCTTGAGTTTTAGGGACATATTTTTTTCTTTTTAAATAAGAGACTATGGAACATGCAATGTTAACAATCTTCACTGTCAGGAAACTTGCTAACATTTCATCTAAATGCCTCATGCATCACTGTAGGCTCATTTCCTCTCATTGAACAGAGGTGGGACAGCTGGCCAGCATCTTCCATCTGCACTGCCCTTAGTCTTAACTGTGTCACAGACGCCCTCTGAAACAGGAGTCTGAGCACAATTGGAAACAGGAAAGAAAACTCTTAAAAAAAAAATCTTATGGGAAATAGTGTTTTAAACCTAACTTTGAATGGAGCTATAGACTAGGTCAACAAAGGGGCCCAAACACTGAAGTGCTGTCCCTTGAATAATTGAGACTAATTCTTAAGGAGTATTATGGGGTCATAAAACACCAAGCCTGGAAATTAAAGATTTTTATGCCTCATCAAAAAGTCTTTGAATGTAACTTCCTGGCATGCTGCCAACAGGGGCAGCTCTTTGGGGGGAAACCCTATGCCAAAGGCCAAAAAGGCAGCTGTGTTATTCAGCTTCTAAGAGCTTCCAACTCAACACCCACACAAGCGCAATTATGAACAAATTAAAGGGATGCAGACAGAACATAGTAATTCTGGTAATTTAAATAAATAGAGGAAAGTCTACAATTAGTAGGAGAGATTGATTTTCTGGTAAACCCAGAAGTATCAACCCAGTCCCTTAAATGACACCCTATCCCCTTTGAATAAGCATAGTTATACCCAATTATTTAAAAATAAATTTCCTTTTACTTATCATTCTAATCACTTCTGATCTGTCTTACACGTGACCATATACCCACTAGCAGAAATTATGAGGCAAAATAGCCTCAGAAAAATCTGTAAGGGGTATATAGGAATTGATAACACTGAGAAAAGCTGTTCTGAGAGCACAGAGCCAATGGTGGCCATTTCTAGCAGGGTTTAATACACATATCTGTAGTTAACTGAATGGATACTTCAAGAACAGAGAAAGTTAGATTTATTCAGAAAGAAACAAAGATTAATATTATGGAATCTGTTAGGCAACCTGCTTGTATTTTATTAATGAAAATGAAAATATATTTGATCATGCTATATATTATATCCTTAAAATTACTTACTAAAATTCAATGTCCATCTCTGACTTAAAGCAAAAAAGGGACAGATAAAAAAAAATGTGGAAGCGAGAAATACAAGGAAGCTTATTTCACTTGATAAAGTGTGTTTTTTTTTTTTTATCAAGAACCAGTAATAAATGTTATAATTAACAGTCACTCCGATAGGCAGGAAGATAGACAGACAGACAGAGACACACACACACACACACACACACTCTCACACACAGTAAACACTCCTGTGTAACCTTTAAAATTTCAATAACTGATGCTGATTTTACTTTGAAAAAAATAGGTTTCTTTTTACAAAGGAAAATCAGAGGAAGATCATCCTATATGTAAATCAAAGTACAAAGTAATAGCATGATAATTTAAACAGAATGATGCCAGCACGGGGCAGATTAATATATAAATAGACAAGCATGTCTATAAGCCCACCCATTTATGTGTATAAGGGAACTTAATTATTCAATGAAACTACATTTTAAATTAATAGGGAAAGGATGGAAAACTCAATAAATTTATTAATAATTTGTTATATATTTTGGAGAAAAATTCTCCTACTTCATACACTGTGAATAAAATACAATGTAGATTGCTTAACTTTTAAGAAAAGGATCTAGAAGAAAGTAAATGGGACAAACATAAAATCAAAAATCAAAAGAAAAGATGGAAGTATTTGACTCTGAGACTAAAGCTTTTTATGGTAAAGGATATCAAAATCAAGCTAAGAAGATAACAAATTATAATAAATTATTTGCAACATGCATGCACTAGTCTAAAAATAAAAGAGAAAAAGAATTAACAAATAGAAACACTGGAAAAAAGTAAACTGCAAAGTAGGAAATAATATAAATGGACAAAACACCCACAAACTCAAAATAAAACCTTTAATTAAGTTTAAATTCCATCTGAAGGGAAAAGAAAATCAAACTAAATCAAGGCTCACTCGCAATGAAAGAAATCCAACATGGCATGGATAAACATTATATTAGCTCAGGGTGGTATATGGAGAACTAAACTACAACTATATTCTGCTTTCCTAATCAAGCAGGAAAGATACTTCCAAATGTGTATCATTGGGGTATCACCTGAGTATATCCAGTGGAAAGTCAACACATTTATTAAGCTCACTCCTTTGTCTGTTCTAGGGAGTAGGAACCAGATGGTTCTAGAATGCTTGCCCTCAGTCTTTGAAAAACTATTAGCTTCAAATTGGTACATCTTGGAGGGGGGCTAAACTTGGATGATTACTCTAAAAATGTTTCTATAGCATGTTATTAAATCTTCTGCTGCATGGTACATTTTAGCCAATGCTTTTAGTGTGGTACTTGTGTCCTGAAAAAAATAACCCAGCATCTGTCCAATTTTGTAAATTGAACAAACATTACTATTATTGTTGTCATTTGTGGTACATGTACAAAAAAATGCAATGGAAGACTGCCAACTATACATATTTTACAAATGTGATTTCAATTCAAAAGAAAAAATTCTCAAAAATAAAGTTTTCAGTAATAAGAAATAAGAGCAGAAATATTTCATAGGAAACAATTTATGTTGTTGTTTTTTTAATTAAATGAAAAAAAAGTAATATGGTCCCCCCCCATATCCTGAAATTAAGAGCAGTTTTGTCCATTCATCTTCTCTATAGATAAAATGAGAAGACAGAAGAGTAAATGTTTATCAAGCAATTTATAAAAATACATTTTTAGTAATAACTGATGTCAGTGTCACACATTACTCTTCTGGTTTGTCAGAGATTCATGCCTGAGAAACACCCTTCAGACCAGTGTTCAAGTAGCTCCCTTGTTAAGGTTTTCTGACTGTCTCTCACTATAGGTGATGAGAGCAAGTGCTTCCCAGTGATTTGGTTAATTTATAAAAAATAGAATCAATTTCTCATTTCATCAGGATTGAGCCTTTTCCTGAACTCCTGTAAATGAACAGCAGATAAGCACTATTTATTATATTGTTTGGTAGAGCACTCAGTTTTGATTATTCTATTTTCTTGTGGCTATTAATGAAAAATGTAATATGCCTCAAGAAAAAAACAGTTGCAGAGGTTGGCCTCTGAGTATTCAGGAAGCAAGGAATATTTTGTTAAGAATTTATTTTGTACTAAGAGCCCATGGGAAGGCAGCAGTAGATGTCTGAATGTCTTTCCAGGACCCATGTCCCAGTGCCTGGAGAACACTGTTGACATGGGTCTTTGGTTTGCCCTGAGAGCCGACAGTCATCCAGTAATATTCATGGTGCTCAGAACACTGATGAGGTTGTTCAGGACAGCCCAGGTACCTTGACACTCTCCATATGGCAAACCCAGGTGACCCTTTTTCCCTCCAGTGTCATAGGGGATGGACACTGGAAGAGAGGGATCTTCTTCATTTTTGCCTTCCCTATCCATCACATATGCAGAACACAAAAGAAGGATGGAGAGCACCATTTAACCACATCTTCTTCCCAGGCCCTGAAACAGGTGTGTTCATTTGAAATGAAATGCACTGGCAGAAGCCAGAGGGCAAATACAAATGCAGGTGAGTTAAAGATGCTTATGGCATTCGGAACCTCCAGAGGAAACATGTTTTTCTGACCTAATAAAGGGAGGACGTTTTATGGACCACAAAATAAGAATAAGTCATCACTCTTGCTTTTACAAAGAGGGTAACTAAGTGTGTGAGAGCAGATAGGAAGATACTATGACCAGTCCCATCCTCCAGCTTCTGCAGACCTTGCTCCCTGAGGTTTGAGTTAAAGAAACAAGACCTGGACATTTGGGAAGATAGATGGGCTGAGGCTGGAGAGCTGACCTGGATGTCACCTCCCCCTCACTTACCAAGGTCCATGCTCTTCGAAGCTTTCAGGTTAATTGATTCAGGCTGCCTGGCCGGTGTCACAGATCTGAAGTTGATGTGCTGATCTGGAAAATATACTGTCGAATCTACCCCAGAGCTGTGGAAAGAAGCCATATGTCATACTTAGGTCTAGAATAAAATCATAAAGAGAGGACAAAAGAGAGAGAGAGAAGCAGTTCTCATTTGGAACATAGTCCCTATGAGCTTCTTTGCAGCCCATTGGTATGTATTTTGAACCAATTCTTACTTTCAGGTTTCTTTCATGAGATGTAGCAACCCTGTTTTCATATATTTTATCCTTAGTACAATTTAAATAAAGTACAATTGCAGTACAATTTAAATAAAGTATTCTCTAGCTAATATTATGTTTGACTCTTCACTGATTTTTGCTAATTGGGATCCTGCTATACCATATAGAACTTTGAGTGGGTAACAGGTGCCTGGGAAGCACTAGCACTTCATAGCTTGTCACCAGACATTAGCAGTGCTCTAAAGCGGACTGAAATTTCTGCAGGATAAGCATGCCCTTCATTTAAACATAAGTGAAAGGGTTGGCTCCTCAGAAAAAAACCATCTTGCTGAATGACTGATGGCAGATGGAGTTTGAATTTTTACCTTATTTAGGTTCATCTTCCAAAACTAACGTGAATGCTGAGCAGATAGTCCACTCATCAATAATACCAAAAGTCAATCCCAGGAAAAGCATGGTTGACAATTTAGACACAAGAAGCATCAAATGCCCATTATAGGATTCCTGGTACTTGTGGTCAGTCTCAATGAATTTTCTTTCTGCTGGATATTTTATTTATTTTTCTTGAGAATGAAGGGATTTTATATAAAGAAATTACAGATAATAGCTTATATCTCAATCCAGAAATGCATCATATTTGTATACTTTTCATATATTAAACTCCACTTTCTTGGTAGCTTGTCTGTTTATGAGGTACATACGGTAGCTCATCTCAATATGACTTGTACTCCTAATCTTAGATACAGAAAGAACTCAAATCAAGCATGCTCAGGAAATCTGAAAGTACTGAGGTTGAATTTTTCAAAAAGTTGGAGGTTGATATTTTAAACAACAAAGTAACAAAAATAACTTCTGAATGAGAATTCATGTACAGAGGAATCTCAAGTTTTAAATGAAATATACCAAAATAAGTTCAATTTTTCTTGAAACTCATCAGTTATGGACATTTAATATTCCCTGACAGCACTGTTAAAATTAATATGTAGCTACACTAATATTGATGAATGAGTAAATGAACCTCCATTAATAATACAGTGGGCAGGTAGATTAAGAAAGTAGCCCTGATGGACAGTACAAGATACTCTCAAGAGCCAGGATGTGGAGCAGGTCCTGGACTCAGTTTAATCCCCTTTCTGCTACTTACTAGCTGTGTGATCTGGGCAAGTTGTCATTTCTCTGTTATTCAGTGTCCTCACATGTAGATTTAAGTGTATTATTCACAGTGAAAATGAGTATAATTACATTCTCTACCTTAGAGGGTGACCAAAAAGATAGAATGAGTTAAAGATTTAGAAAGTAAATAGACTCACACAGAGCAAGTGCTCTAAAAGTGCTCAGGTACCAAACGAGCAGATTAATAAATAGATCTGCTTTTGCTTCCTAAATGACTGTGAGTTTCTGAGCTTGTCCAGATTTTTTTTTCACAGTTTCCTTGCCATTTCCATCTTTGTTAGCCCTTAGAAGGGCTGTGACTAAGGTAGCTTAGGGACTGGGGAGATGTCAGGCTATGTGGCCTCATCTATAAAACAGTTAATAGAATTTACTCTATAAGGCTATTGTAATTATTATATAAGTGAAGGAATGCTCAATACTAAGATTAGTGCCTAGCATATACAATTGCAGTACAATTTAAATATTCTCTAGCTAATATTATGTTCAATCAATGGGAGCTATTACAATGAATGGGAGTTCTTTATTTCTGTAGATTACGGTGGCCTTTGAATGAGGACCTGCAATATTCTTCAACGAAAAGATTGTACCTGTTTTTGTGAACACTTCTCAAGAAGTTTAAATCCACTCATTGGAGTCATGAATTTCAATGGTGCCTGGGTGCATTCTCAACAGACAAAACCATTGATACACACAGTGTACTAGATGCGGTATCTAGTGATAGGAAGACATGCTAATTATGTGCAAAAATCCTTGACCCACTTAGTTTTATTGATCTAACAGCAATTCTCTCTCTCTTTCAGCACATTTTAAAGAAGAATCTAAGATGCTAGTGTGCACACGAGTTTCCCCAAATCCTTGATATTCTGGAAGTACTTGCCTTTAAATGTGTTATTCGACCTTTATTTGCTCTTAGTTTTTCCATCCTTTGATCTACTGTGATGATGTGGATTTAGTGTCAGAAAGACTCATGGCCACATAGACTCAAGGAATTTAAGAACTGGAAGGGATTAAAGCCTAGGGCATCATTTAGATAAGACTCTGAGGCCCAAAGAGGAGGACTTATGTTCCAAGGTCACACAGGTGGCCAAGGGCAAAGCCAGGAGCAGAACCATAAGCTTTGTTAAAATGGCAGCCATCCTGGGACATAAGTTGTTTCAAGCCTAAATTTCCAAAATTTCAAAGCTTTTCCTTAACTTAGTGCAGATTTGCTCACAATCTCCTATGCAACTTGCATTTTAGTTTAGCTTTTTGTTTAAACAGAGGGGTGCATATCATGAAACTAAAGAAAGCCAGACAGTTGATCAAAACAGATGCTATATGTTATAACAAAAGCCTTCAGGCAGAGGTTTAGAACCAACATGAATATTCCTCTTTAAAACAAAAATCACACTGTATTTGAAGTGCTGAGCTCAAGGTGGACTATGGGGATCTACCCAAGTGAGGAATGTATTGGTTGCCCAAATTCATTCTCAGAGTGTCTTCCAAACTGATATATTAAGGATAAGAACTCAAATTCTCCTAGGCTCGTGAGAAACAATGATCTTTATCCAAGAAGGTGGCAATACCACTTGACATAGTAACATCAAGTTAGGATCTATCCAAATGAAATGAATATATTTTGATAGAGATATTAGGAAACACTCAAGGGTGGTCAGAGAAATAAAAGCTTCTTTATACATATAAATGGAACAGACATATTGTTTATATTAAGTATATATATGTATGTCTGTTATGCCCATTAATTTGATGTATGCATTTGTTATCATCATTTTGTGACCACGTATACAACTTGAAAACCTTCAATGGGAGGATCCCCTCTTGCCATGAGACAAAATGGAAATGCAAAATAAGGTTGATGTCAGATTGGCAGATATTTAAGGAGGGACGTGAGTGTTACATAAGACATTATGGGACCAGAGCCAACGTGAGCATATAGCGCACTGAAATAATGACTGGAGTATTGAATTAGTTAATGTGAAAATATTTTAGACATGTCAGTAAGACTAGTGAAATGGTTTGTAATTTTATCTACACATCAGAAGTGTTTAGAGTGAGAGGGTGACACGATGATTAACTATAAACTATGACATATTTTAATTTTGAAGGGAGTTAGAGTGTACTCATGGCTGAGTGGGCTGCACCAGGGGCTGTGGGAAGTTGAAGTTGACAGCAGGCCAAAGACGTGTCCTAGATCAAGGCCGTGCTTTCAGCATGAACAACCGGGAAATCTATCAAATAGAAATGATACTCAATGTCAAATTATGCTGCATAATGAATAAATAAGGGTAGCATGAAACATATGCCAGTGTCCTGAATGTGGTGACAAACCAGGAATGTGAAAGACACACAAGGGCCAGCAGGGCATGTTCAAGAACTGTGTGAAATAAAAAGCAGAGGAAGAAGATTTTGAGAAGTATGCCTATATATATGTGACTGAAACCACTGGTGTCTTATGAATAGATTTCAACATTTGGCTAGTGTGAGAGTAACAGAGGTCATGTGTGCAAAGCAGAGAGAGAAGGAGAGAGACAGAGAATGAAAAATATGAACATGTAGGAAATTATCAAATGTTGTCCAAAATGTTAATAATATTCATAATATTCAATATATTCTGCCTGCTGTTGATCTACCTTCAACTCTCCCTGAGATCCTGCAGTAAAAGATATTTCCCTTATATTTTTACTAAGACACACGTATTCTAACCTTTTCTCTAATAATCATTGGCAGAGTAGTAGAAATAAATTCAGGAATGTACTGATTTCATTTGGGTTTAAAGTACAGGCCTTAAGTTTGATCTAATTTGTGTTTCCCTTTCCATGCAAGGGCAGTTTTCCACTGTGAAGAGTGGTTCCATCCCTAAAGCACTGCTATTCCCTCTTAGAGGGCTTTATAATTTTTTTTTTTTTTTTGAATGACAGAATTGCTCAATCCTCCTGGCTCCTTTCCAGTGTATCCTCCATCCCAAGCTTCACACATCCAAACCCTGCTGCTGCTGGTCACCTAGGCAACGCTGTAGCTTGCAGGACTGTGCAGGTCACAGCCTCCCAGGAGGGGGAAGAGTTTCAAGGCTTAAGACTTGTTCCTTCCTCTGCCCTTTTCCCTCCACCGACACTGCTTTTCCCCTCTTTCAGGTAGTGTTTTTCTCTTGTTAGTCCCAAGAGTACTAGAGATCTTTGTATGTGGCTTCCCCCAACCATTCCATTCTCCACAGTGAAACTGCCCAAGGTCTGACATTGTCATCTGGTGGGTTGGAGCCCTTCAATGCTTCTCCACTGCTCCCTGAAGAAGCAAGGTGCTTTTGGTGCATGGTAGACAATACTGGACCTTGATATTTTCCCCCTGGATACCATGCACTACAGCCACACTGAATGTATGATGAGTCCCCTCTCCATCACCTGGTTTTCTAACCTAGGTTGGTCTTCCTGCCACTTCTCGGCATTGTAGGCTCCTTTCCATTTTCTAAGAAATTACTGACACCACTTCTTCTGTGAAAACTCTCTTGATCCTACAGACAGAGTCAGGTGGCTCATTTCTCTGCACTCCCATGGCATTTTGTATCTAATGCTGAGCAGGCTGCATCCTTAAGTGTCTGTCTTCTTAAGAGGACACTGCATTTCTGGCTGGCAGGGATGCTTTCTGATCCATTCTAGTGCATTCTAGAGTGTTTGGCTCAAAGCTCCAAAAATACTTCTGAATGGATGAGTGAATGAATGACTTAATGTTCAAATACTGCAGAGCAGGAAAAAAAAAAGAATGAAGTCTGAGGAAATCATAGAGGAATGTGCTTGACAGAAGAGGGAAGGGGAGAAATCTGAAGATCTTGAAGAAGTCATAAAGGTGGTCGCTAACTCCCAATAGATATATCTGAACCACCCCTCACCTGCAGGTTTCTCACCTGAGCAATCTCCCTGTCCTCCCCAGCACAGGTCCTGAGTACCTCTCACTGCCATGGCCCCAGCAGGGATCCAATGGAGTCTGGCATCCAGTGGATATCAGCCCTCCTCTATTTATCTAATCCATGTTACACACAATGAAATCTTGAGGTTTACCATATCTATTGTCTTTTAAGACTCTACAATAGTTTTTCCTATCTACTGAATGAGGCATGTATACCTCATCCGTGCATCCTGGGCTTTATTGGCTGGTCAATAAGTTGTACATATCAATTTCCTTTCCCACCTCCATGCTGTTCCTTCCCTCTCTGAAATTCCCTTCTTTCCCAGGCTTATCTCACACCTAACCTCTAGTTATGAGGAAAGATTCAGCTCAAATAACTTTTACCATCACATTTGGACTGATTCTCCTAACTGGAAGCAGTCCCTCTGCCTCAGACCACATGTTAAATTACACCTTCTATCATTTTGTATCTTGTGATCCACTAGCCTTCTGGCTTCTTGAGGGCAGGGCTTCTGACTCACCTTGTCACCATTCCAGTGGTTTTGCATATACTGGATATACCGGATGAACAACAAATCTACTTTATTGAAATTATTATGAAATTATTTAAAAATGGATTCTTTAATGCTACCAACTTGGATTCAGGATTGAGATAGACAGTGGAAATAAAGGGGAAAAAATTAAATATGTCCACATTTTTTTCTAAGTAAGCCCTCGAGATACTGATCTAGAATATAACCGTGATTATCAACCTAGTTCATGAAATTGTGTTTGAGTAAGATAACTAATTTCAAAAATAGAAAAATCAGAGAGAGTTAAATATAGGTAAGCCTCCATCTAATAGAGTTAGATATACTCTTGTGCATCTGTATTTTTAACAGGTTGTATTAAAAAGCATTGCTACAAGAAAAATGAAGAAATTTCACAGGATTATCATGGGACACGGAATGGAATAAAATACACAGTTTTTAACAGGCATAATAAATACAGAAAATAGCAAAGAGACAATTTAATGATTTTTAAAACTCATCAGAAGAACAAAATTTATGAATTCCACTAGTCAAATAGTATGTATACTTATAAATCTCCCTCTCTTGTGCTTGTGTGATTCTAAAAAATTATTGATTTTTTTAGTTTCTATTAGAGAATGGATATAATATTGGGTACCCTTTTCAATATTTTAGATTATATATGGTGTTGCTTTAATTTTTAGATTCCATTAACTTTCTTGGAACATCTATTTTTAAAGTACCTTTAGGGTTTGTGAATTACAAAGAAAAAAAATCCTGTTTCATTTTCTTCGGTTTTGTTTCATACCTTTCCATATAAATTTTCTTTGGGCATCACTGCTCTTGTTTTCAAACTTGTAAAAGAAAATCCAACCATTTTCTTAAATAGTTTCATCATATTAGATGAATCTTAACACATTCTAGGGAGCAAAATATGAACAATCAATGCTATTAGCTTTGAGAAGCTGTCTCTGGAAAGGAATTATAGATACTATGAGATTTCCATTCTGGAAAGAAATAGAGTAAAAATAAGGTGGCTGCGTTTTCCCAGAAAAACCATAACAGGGGAACATTTATGATATATCATTTTATCGATACCTGTGGCTGTAATCTTCAAGGCCCAATTCCAGACCAGAATGTGGTGGTGGGGAAGGTGGTACTTCACTCTCCGCCCATCCGTCATTGGAAAGCAATAGGTCTATAAACAAGGAACAAATGAAGCTGTAGTAACCCGGAGGCAGAACCATTCAGTGCCTGGTTTTGCTTCAGTCCATCTCGCAGACACGATTTTTACCAACACATAAACCAGCCTTCAACTAAATAAGGCTTCACCCAGAACCAAAGGATTGTCAGGAGAGCTCATGCTCCCTGATCCAGGAAATATGCTCCAGCTAATATGTGAAGCTGGTGACCTGCTGGCAACCCCTGGCATGTCAGCTCCCTGCATCCTTCCCCCACCTGTGGAAGGCTGATACATACTCATTACCTGTGATTTCTGGAAGATCAACAAAACTATGTCTTTCATGCTTTAATATTTTTGTAAATAAGACTCTGTAGGGATTCCTCTGAATTATATAGTGATTTAGGCATTTGCTTCAATGGCAAAAATACTTTTAAAAAGCCATTTATATACAGTATATCTATTTATTTAGACACTATAGAGGGAAACTCCCACTCTTTCTTCTTCCATTTCATAACAGAATCACTTGGATTTAGGCCTTAAAAACAAAAGGCCAGGGTCTAAATCTAGGTTTTCCTACTTAACACCAGAGCATATTTTTCTAGGAAATTTGGACTGGAAAAACAACACATATCCCGAATATTGATACCAAGATCGAGTAAGGTTTGATGAGATCTTACTGTTTATGAGACATTGTACTAAACATTATGTGCATAATTCCATTGAATGCTCAAAATTTACACTAGAATTTATTAATATTTGTAAAGCATTAGAGAGTATCCTGGTTTATTTTTGAAGCAAGATTGCCATGTTTCCACTCCTAGTTCCTACTGCTGTGCAAAGTTGGAAAACTTACTCTAATTCTTCAAGCCTCAGTTTTTAAATCTATAAAGTGGTGATAAGAACACTTTCACTAGAACAGGACACACTGAGTGAGAGGGCACTCATGCATGCAAAGTGCTTAGTAACTCCATGCAGAGGGTGATCATGCCAAAAGTAATAAATTCTGTATATCTAATACAGCAGACATTTGATGAAATGTGGACCAGGTTTGTCCCTGATGGATATAAAAAGAGAAAAATCTCTATCCTTAAGATATCCTCTATCTTCTGCTGCTAGATGCTGCTGGTAACAAAGTCTGGTTTTATTTTGTCCATCTTCCAAGTGTGATGGTACCTACATATTATTCTGATAATTTCTGGAAGGGTATTCTGAGATGGGATTAACATTTAAAATCAGCAGACTAGGTAAAAGAGACCTCTTTAATGTTGGTGGGCCTTACCCAGAAAGCTGGGGGAGGAGGGCAAAGTAGAATACAAAGGCTGGCATTCCCTAAGTTAGAGGGAATTCCGCCCACTTGACTGCATTTGAACCCAAGTATCAGCTTTCTTCTGCCTTTGGACTTGAAGGAAAACAGCAGCTTTTCCTGGATCTCAAGCTGGCTGGCTTTGGATGAGAGCCACATCTTCAGTTTACTCGTCCCCAGTGTTTTGAGTTCAAACTAGAAGCACAATATCAGCTTTCTGGGGTCTCCGGGTTGCTAACCCCTCTGTAGATCTTGGGATTTGTCAGCTTCCCTGACTGTGTGAGCCAATTCCTTTCAAATCTACTTTGATATACACCTAAACCATGTTGCTTCTTGTTTGTGGCCCTTGTTGTTTGTTTTCAAGAACCCTGATGAATACATTGAGCAAGGATTTGCTTCAGCTCTCCCCAGGCCTTCTGCCTGGTGGAAGCAGTGATGACATATCTTGGGAATGAGGAAGCTAGAGCTCTGATAAGCAGGTGTGACAGGTAGAAAAGCACAATGAGCAAAAGCAGTGAGCACAGCCCCCTGCACCTTCACCCACTGGGATCTGGCAATTTGGTGGTAGTGGTATCAGACCAGTAGCCAGAGACTTGCTAAGAAAAAGAGAGCAGAAGGACTCTACTATAAATACGGACCTGGGGCATATCCTTTCTGCTGGCTTGAATCTTTTTGTCTGCAACCTCTTAGTCCATTGTTCACACTGGCAGTAAGCTGGTGGTGATCAGTTAACTTGCTTGCTCAAAAAACTTAATTATAGACAGTTGCCTACAAAATAAGTGTCTGTGGCTTTGGCAGCCAAATTCATCTTCTATCACACATTAGCTACCCAAGACTATGTACCCTGACCACACCCCTGAGCTTGCCTGCTGTAGTGTCTTTGCTCATATAATTATAAAATCCATTCTATCTGTCAAATTCTTACCCTTCTCCTAGGGTTCACCTCAAATATCACCTTATCTATAAAACATCTACTGGTCTTAGGATAGGTCATTGACTTTACAAAAGTGGCAGAAAATATTCTCTTCCTGGTTATATAGAAAGATACCATGTCTCCATCCTCTCTCCCCTAGACTAATTCTTGCCAATGGAAGTGAGTTGCTATGGTTAGTATCATTCCCAGCCTCTGAGGTTAAGAGAGGGTGCACCTTCTCCACTCTGCCACTCCCTGTAACTACCACCCAGGAGCCCAATGAAAAGGTGCAAGAAGCCTGCCCAGCCACCAACAGAAGGAGTTTAGGTCCCTTAATCACTGCCAGGAGCACAGCACTAATGAAGCACTCTTCTCCTGCCAAGCCCTACTGTGCTGTGGCCAAGGAAGGTGCATCAGGGTCTTCTTCTACCCCTTAACATACTGGTTTATCTATTACTTAATATTATACAGAGTAATTCCTCCTGTATAACATTTATTGAATGCTGCCTGTGTAATGAGCCATTTATTGACTTACCAAGCTATCATGTATTCATCTATATTTCTCTTACTAGATTGGAGATAACTTCCTCTTTGTCCTCTTCTTTCTCTTCTCCCTCCCCTTCTGTGCCTCTTCTGTAGCTATTTTAAGTTTTGAAGCATTTTTTTGTTTGTTTGTCTTACAATCATTAACTTTACTGCATTCATATGACCCACCTGTTTTTTTTTCTTAAAGTGATAATGGTACAGAGGTAAGTATCTTATTTTTTTATTTAATATTTTTTAGTTGGTAGTTGGACACAATTATTTTATTTACTTATATTATGTGGTGCTGAGGATCTTATATGTTGACTCTATGTCCTTGGTTCGGTTTTAAATAACATATTATGATGCTGTAAAAAATTTTTTTTTCTCTTGATTCAAACATTTTTGGTTAAGCTCTGAGTTAGTATGAAAGTCTGAAATTCTCATATCCTACAAATTTTATAGATATCATTGAGTGTACAAGGTGATTGTTCAAGGTACATTCTTAATGGTAGATATCTCTTTGTACGTATTTATACATATCTGTGAATGTGGACAATTTGTCTTCTATTCACCACTTCAATAATGGTTAAATGGCTTTTCTTTTAATTACCATCTTTTCTTTGGTTGATTTTGTGGGATCCATCCTGCAAAAGTCAGATCAGAAAAGCTAGGTAAAAGAGACTAGGACTTTAGACAAAGGGTCAGCAAAGCTGTGGCCCTGATCTAAAACCATCCTACCATCTGGCTTTGCATGTAAAATTTTATTGAACACAGCCATGCTGATTTGTTTATTTATTGTTTATGACTGCTTTTGTACTCCTATGGCAGAGCCAAAATTTCTAACACAGAGACCGTGGCCCATAAAATCTGAAATATTGCTATCTAGCTCTTTAAAGACAAAGTCTGATGACCCCTGCTTCAGTCTCTTCTTGAGGGCAGTAGGAGCACTGCATTTATCTTTCCATTCCTGATAGTGTATTCTGCACAGTGGAGGTATCCAATAAACATTAGTCAAATTGGAGAGTATAATCCAATTTCTGACCAGCACTGCAGAGGCAGTGGCTTCCATGGTACGGTGGGGTGGATGATGCTGTTTCCCAGGAGGCCTCCCATTAAGGAGAATGATGCCATTATGTGTCTCCTTAAAAGACTCCAGGGAATATGGATTTAGTGGGACAGGGCACAGAAACAAAACATCTGATTTGATGTGGGCAGCAAAGGCCTAACTCCGTGGGTGATGCTGATGCTGGGAAGATTGGGGTACTTGAGCTGAAAGTGGGAAGGAAGCAGGAGAAGAGCACAGAGGAGAGATGAGAGGGATGAAGGAGAGGAGTTAACAACCCAGACAACTGCACTTAGCCTGGTACTTGCCCTAGGGTAAGACCTGCCAGTGAGATTCCTCAGAAAACAGAGTTGGCACCTCATTAACATTCAGATGCTTAGTGGGATTTTACAGTCAACCTCTGGGACACAGCACCCATTCTTATTGTCGTCTTGGAGCACTCCTCTTGCTCCATCCCCAGCACTGCTAGCAATTCTCCAACACAAATGTGAATTTCTACAAATGTTAGTTCTAAAAATGCCTTTTGTGTGTAACAGCTTGACAGGAATAAAAAATAAAATACTCAGCAAACTGTGGGTGGTATGCACTATTATTACAAAAATAGATGGAACACAGAATATCAACTTTGGATTTTTAAATATACAAAGGAAAGGAAAAAGGGAAAGAAAAAAAAGTTACTGTTTTGGCTGTACCAGTTCCTATCCTCATTAGATATTACACTTTGTCAAGTTAATCTTGTTTTTCTACATGAGGTCCTTAAAAAATAGGTGGCATGTGTCAATACTCAAGATTGATGAGTCTCGGTGGCCTGTTACCACCATCCATGGCCCAGAACTCAGTGACTCCCAGTAGTCCTCAAACCACAGAATATAAATGCAAAGGAAATGTAAAGCACAAAATTGTAAACTAGTATTGTATCACAGATCAACAGGGAATAAGAGCAACTCGTTTTTAAATAATTAAGGGTTAGTGGGCTCACTTCTTGAGAGTGTTAGTTTTTTTAAATTTTGTTAATTTGTAAAATCAAGGTGAAGAGGAACCTTGTGGGTTGCAGATCTGCATGGTGTTTTCACTGGTGTAAAAGTTGCTGGGCTGCATCTATGTCTCAGGAAGAAGAGAACAGATAAACTCCCAGTGGTTGTCTGTGGCCACTTATACCCTTAGAATTCTTTGTTCAGTAGACATACAAGGCCTGAACATTTTATGGAAGCTCTAAAGTATTATCACATTTCATTTTAGCACATGCTTTGAGTATATTTTATTATTTACATTTTTTTCCTGGGTGGATCTTTTTTTGTGGGGGAGGGGGCAGATACCTGGGATTGAACTCGGGGGCATTCAACCACTGAGCCACATCCCCAGCCCTATTTTGTATTTTATTTAGAAACAGGATTCTCACTGAGTTGCTCAGTGCTTCATTTTTGCTAAGGCTGCCTTTGAACTCACGATCCTTCTGTCTCTGCCTCTGGAGCTGCTGGGATTAAAGATGTACTCTCAGCATTCTAGGTTTATGTTAACATGTTGACTAGTTTCATATTTTCATTGTTTTAGCTATCACTTCTTTTTTTCTAAAGATATTACCCAGTTTACTTGAGCCTATCAATGTCCTCTAAAAATGTTTGATAGATATCACCTCAGCATTGATATTTTTTAGATACTGAAAATGAACCAAGAAGGAGGTAATATGTCCAATGTTCCTTTGGATATTACTGACGAAATTAGAGACAAAACTCTAAACTCAGTCTTAGGCCCACATGTTGCTTTAGAGTCAAATGCCAATCAAATTTTGTAAAGAGGAGACTTTTTAATACAGATGTCAGTGTTTGCTATCTTAACATGGGCATAGTAGGAAGAAGGCTGTTCTAGACTAGAAAACTTGCTGTTCCTTCCTGACTCTGTTACTACTGGGACTAAAGGTGTCAGAAGGAGATATTGCTATTTATTATGGAGAAGACTTTTAATTTATTTAAGGTGAAAGACATATGGAGTACTTTTTTTTTTTTTCCTGGATATAAAGTCAACTTAGGGACATTCTTAGTTTCAGATGTCAGGATTTTACTCATTTTGTGGGACCACTGAAAGTCAAGGGCATGAAAGGAAGTCAGAGAGACAGGAATTGAATCCAGCTCTGCCTGTATCAAGTATGCAGTTTTGGGTAAATTGTTTACTCTCCCTGACATTCTATTTCTTCATCTGTAAAATAAGGATAATAATATTAACCACTTTGAGTGTGCATGTAAATTGCTTAACACAGTATCTAACAGACAGTAAACACTTAATAAATGGCAACAGCTGTTGCTGCTACTCTCACTAAAAATGGGGGAATGTTTAAAAAAAAAAAAACAGCATCCCATTTGGAAGAAACAATTTAATTCTAGAACAACCTCAGATTTATTCTGTTCTGATGGAGCTACATAGTTAAATTTTTGTAACATCTTAAATATCCAAAATATAAGGGATTGATTATGTAGTTCACTCAATAAAATAATATGCCACTAACTGAATGTGAAGCTGTAGAAGAACATTCAGTGACATAGTAAGATGCTCATAATGTGCTATAAATTAAAAAACTAATTTCTTAAACATCACCTATAGTATATTTCCTTTTAATTTCATTTTATGTACACATATTTGCATGAAGAAAGACTTGAAAGATACACATAAAAATGTTATTGATTAAGATCTGTGATAGAAAGAAGTATGAGTGATATTAAATTTTCTTTTTATTGCTTTTCTCTAAATTTTCTACAATGAATATGTATTGCTTTTGCAATATAAAGAATGAAAGTTATTAAGGAAAAGAGATATGGGGAGATAAAACAATTTTCTTGGTGACCCGAAGTATAATTTTTGAAAGCCGAGGAAGAAAACTTAGGTTTTTTTTTTTTTATTATTTTTTTTAACATCCGGTGCTCTACTAGAAATGTGATCTGTACCAGATAATGAGAGAAAGTGTAGCAAGACAATAACAAGAACATTCCAATTGCTATGTTAGGAACTCAGATTGTGCTATTTAACTACTTGCCACAGCTTAGAAGTGAGCATAAATCTGTGAGCCACATTATGACCATTTCATGGTTTAATGTAAGTCCATACATTTTTAAAGTTACAATGATAACATCCCAGATCAAAAGATCTTAAAAAAAAAAATAACAGTTTGCCTTCAGTTTGCCATTTTGATTCTCTAGTCATGGTTTGTTTTATATATAACCCTCCATGTTTGGGGCAGCAAGCAAAAAAACTGTCACTTAAACTGGCGGCCTTGCCAGGAATCTGATTCACAAGTTCTGAGTCAGCATTCCCACCCATCTCAGCACTCTGAGTAAGGAAGTCTGCTCTTAGTCTAATTAACTCCTCCTCGCTGCCCCACCCCCACCCCTGCCCCTGCCATCGCCTTTTTTTTTTTAAACATAAAGGTACTGTTTTCTCACTTCATTCACAGGGGAAGAAAATGGATAGAATCTTACCTTTCTGTTTATCTTGTGGACTGTAAGTGCCAAACTGATGCAATATACTATCATTTCGCCTGGAGGTGCTTAAAGTGTTTTGACAGTTCTCAAAGCATGGCTTGGAAAATGCCCCACACTCTGCAGGCTCCTAAGGGATAAAAATTAAAATTACATTTTCTTTTTTAATGTTCCAACTTGGTCAACTTTAGTAGAGCAAAAGAATGATCAAGTCTTTCAAGAGTCTCTACTATATAAGTCTTTGACGGTAGAAACTCAAAAAGGCCCTGTGGGTATAAGAATTTTTTGAATATGAAATTAAAAATACTGACAATGTGGTGTTAAGGATTAGGAATCCTGATAGCCAACACAAAAGAGGATTAACTTTATTATTCTTTTCCCCACTTACAACTGGCTTCTTTCGAATTTTCTTCCATCTGGGAGTACAGCTTGTGGCAGTGTCAATACAAGTACACAGTTCATGCCAAGGGTGTTTCTCTGCCAACCAGCTGGTTCCTCTCTCCCCCTCCCTCTCTGCCACTACCCAGTCTCTCTTTCTCCCCACTTGAGTGCATATGCTCCAGGACAAGTCGGAACCAAAGCAGGTTGTGTCCCCCAGATACGAGGTCTTTGGCCAGGAGCTGAAACAAACCGTAGTGACAATGCCAGAGACTGCTTCTCCTAAGAGCTTTTACTCCCTCCACCGGCATATTTCCCTTCCTATTTAGATTCTGACAGTCTGTAAACAAATTCACAGTTTTCTCAAAACTGCAGTATCCAGAATAACACCCCCCAAGCCATCTTGCACAGGAGCTGAAGAAGTAATAGGAGGCAGGTGATTACAGAGAACTCCAGCTAATTTTTTTTTTTTTTTTTTTTGAAGAGGACCGAGGCATAAAGAACTGGGTCTTGCTCTTGCTCATCTTATTTTTCTCCCTAACAGATTTCAAGGAAGAAAATTATTTGGAAGTCATTTCATAGCTGTTCCCTTGACCATTTGTGAGATGAACATGCCACAAAACAGAGTCCCAATTTGATCCCCAGAGCTCTTTCCATCTGGGAAAGCATTTGGCGGAAACAATGCGTTTGATTTCTATTTTTCCTCTTTAGTTACAAAAATTCAGTGTCTAAACAAAATATTTAAAGCTTTCAATTTACGCATTGTTAATAATTAAAATTTTTCTGTTGCTAAAGGTCCTTTAGCTTTTTAACACTTCTCCCACACCCAACATGTCACCCTTTGCCTCCATACTGCTAGTCAAACCAAGCCAGGTACAGGAGGCAAGCCACTCCTGAAAACAGGACAGGAAGGGATGGTGCAACTTGCCTAGCACAGCCTTGTGTTTTTATTTAACAATAACAACATGGGAGAAAAAAAAAATTTCTGCTTTCCCAGCTCTTTGATAAATGACACAATCGATATCCCAACAACTGATCAGTAACCAGTCTAATTAAAGTATTCAGCCTGTAAAATAGAGCTGTCGTGGAGCCCTCCATTAGTGTCCCAGCCAATAAAACACATAATGGATTTTTAAACATATTCAGCTTCTACCAAGATGAGCTGGCAGCAGGGAGGAAAATGTTTTGGGGAAAGAGAAAAACAAAACCAGGTCATAACCCATTTTTTAATACCAAGTCTCTAGGCTCAAATAGAATTACCATTGAACCTGAAGCTCATCCTTTGAAAAACATGTTTCTATTTAAAATGATTTTGATTCAATCAAGGGCTCATTATATATTCTTCCCTAGGTTCTCATCAAAACTGTTTACATATCTTATACAACTAGGTAAGGAGGGAACTGCTCCCCGCCACAACAACAACTTTATATTTTGACTTTTCTTAAGTAGCTTCTTCAATTTTTTAAATATCAATATAATGTTCAAGCAATCATTTGGCATTCTTGCCAAATCTGCCTAATTGCTCTGCCTGATTGTCTGAGCTGTGATGAGACCTTTTTAGGTTATAGATGCTTTTTTATTGTACTGGAGGGCACAGGAGAATACACCACAAACACAAGTGCGCAACATATGCTTTGACACAGTAACACATAGATTTGGGAGATCAAATAGCTGCAATTTTTTTTCATATTTAATAATGATAAGCTGTACATTAGGCTTCTGTCTTTATAAGAAATAATACTCTTTAATCTTCATGGGTACCATAGAGAGTCTCAAAAGCTGAGAGTCAAGTGCCTGCTCATTCCCCATGGAAAGCATGTAAATATTAGGAAAAGAAAATGGATCTTGTTTAAATGTCCTCATAAAAATTGCTTTTTGCCCCAGTTCTTATTCCCGATCGATTCCCTGGTGAATGATATCAGCAAGACACTTCTGAGGATGGGCAATGAACTGAAAGTTAATACTTTCTTCTGATGGAATAATGTCAATCCACTGCAGACTGTGGAAATTAAGATGAAAATATCTGATGTAAAGGTGAATGCAAATAGTAAAGAGTTCCAACTCCATGAGCCAAAATGTATGACACCTATGCTGTACATTCACACATATTTTAGAAAGAGACACGAATTAGGAAAGAGGAGATGTGGGGGCCTGGCTAAGTGTTTTAAGGTCACATTCTTTTCTTTTTTACCTTTTGCTGTCTACATGAGCATAATACTTTTGTGCTACATCTTACAGACTTTTCTGTTAGTGAGGTTTTTATTAAAATAAATCCTTAGGGAGTGCTAATATGCAGATACACAGAAGGGATGACTTAGGCCCCCCCTAAGCCATCCTTCACACCTGTCTCCAACAAATGGGTTCCATGGAATCATAGGGCTCTAGAGGAAGAACCCAATGAAACCAGATGGAGCCACTTCTCTCATGGTAGGAAACAGTACATAAGGACCTTCTAACTGTGTACATTAAGTAAAGCCCATTAAATATTCATGGAAGACTCTGTCACTTAAGCAGACGCAAATGTGGAAAATGAGCTCCTTCATTATATATAGTCTCCAGTAATTGGCCAATTTACATTTATTTAACATCTACAAGGTTATATACAGAAGCATGTAAAAGGTACAATTACTCCTTTCCAATAGCTGATAATGTAACAAAAGAAGATACACTTTATAATTTTACTACTCAAGGCCTACTTACTCAGATGAAGAAGATCTCAGTTGCAATTTTTTTATTCATTCAACAATATTTATTATGTATCTATTATGCACTGGGAAATAAAGATCCATTAATGGATAAAACAGATAACAATATCTGTCATCTACAAACACTGAGCACTTAAGTATAAATGTATCTAGTCACAAAACCAGGAAAGGCAACCCTAGGATTTTAACCCCCAAATGCTAAACTTTACAGCGCAAGCTTTAAACTTTCAGGAGCCCCATAATCATCTACTAGTTTACTTTGACAGTCCTGTTCATTTTTAAAATTTTAAGTGAAATTTATTATTAAGACTAGCATTTTATGTTGGTGCTGTTAATAGTATTCCATATGACTTTGCATTTAATTATATTACATAAACATATTCTGGTCTTTGAGAATATCCTGATAAGATTATCTAGGATATGCTGATTTTTTTTAACATCTACTACTACTAATTTTTTCTTCTGATTTTTTCCTAAAATAATTATTAGGAACATTTAATAATTATTCTTTTATGTAAGAGAATATAATGCCTTAGGAATTTTTAAAATTTATATATGACAGTGGAATGCATTACAATTCTAGAAATATTTTATCCTTACATTTATTTGCTAGTGAAATATTTCTGATACTTAAAAAGTTCACAAAGAAATCATGATTTAAAAAATCTTAGAAATAAGCCTTCAATCTTTTTTTTTTTTAACAACTTGAAGTAAGCAGCTTGCTTAAAAGATCAAATTTTAAATTAGTAAGTCTAATTATCTATATGTAGATTATGGGGGAGAATATAGAAAACCAATTGTATTATAATGATCTTCCCTTAAAACATTGTACAAGTCTGATCAGGAAGGGATAGATATTGCTAGCATATCAACCAAAAAGCATATAAAAATAAGTCTAACTCTAGTAATTTCTAAATGAAAAAAACCCTAAAAAAGATGGACCTGTTATAGTTGATAAAGAACTTACTTTATATGCACCTTTTCATACCTTATACTTAAAACACACAACCACCTGTTCCCCGCATTAGAGCCCTTTTAGGGTATATTTTCCCAGGCAGTGTCACCATGAGTCCACCTACCACACTGTTAATGGAAATTTGCATATTATGGTAGCCATTAGGCAATTTGCAAGGAAAATCAAGATTTGCATCACCTCCATTGGTCTCTCTGGTCTCCTAAGAATCACCAACTGGATCATCCCTCGAATGTTTCCCTCCATGGACATGGATCGTCTAAGTGTTTCCATAGCTTCATGGTTGGACTTTCCCAGAAGAGACTCCCCATTGACTGCAATCAGTTGGTCATTCATTCGTAGGCGACCATCCTAACACAGAGGAAAGAAAAATGGTATATAACAGAGAAAAGGGTGGTGATGACATGTCGTTGATTTGGGAGAAAGGTTTAAGTACATAAACGAGGAAGGAGGGAATTCCAGCTATTAGGAATAATTTATTTTCCATGGTAGAAAAATGTTCTGGAGCTTATCAGACAGTCACAAACACTAACAATAATGAATTGTGTGAAAGAATTTTTTAGAAACCTCAGAGGTTTGAGCTACAATATTTAGACCTTAATATAATGCCTCTTACCTAAGTCTTTGGCAAGCATACTAATCCAGCCTGAGTCTGCCATTGGTTCTGGCAGGGATAATGTTGCTGACTCAAGAGAAGGGGGTTTAGAGACAAACAGAAGTAGTCATATCCCTTGAAACAAGGGTTTACATTCCAGGCAGGGTGAGCCATCATGCTTAAATTGCTGCATTTTTTAAAGTAGTGGCATGTCTCCCTGATATCATTGCTATCTCTATTGAATGGTATTAAAAAAAAAAAAAAAAAAAAACCTTCATGTAATTTTTTCTAACACAAGAACAAAGTTGCTTGTCTGCTAATCTGAACAAGAACACTGTGGTATGCAGTGTGAAGGCCCAAGGCCCAAGTTCATATTTTCTAGCAAAAAGAGTTTGACCAAAGAAATCATCAAGCTTTCTCCAGGGACACCGTCTGAAGAGCACCTTTAACCAGCATCTCCTGGAAGGAACATTTTTTTTTACCAAAGGCACAAAGAACCTCGGCCTGTGGACAGGTAGCCTAAACTCTGGGCTCCATCACTTTAAGGCCCTAATCATCTTCAAACAAATGCCTCTCATGAGCAGAAGTATATAGTAGTAGCTAAAAAACTGCTTTGCCTAGAAGACAACTCATGAGACATGTGTATTTCCCTGCCTGGTAGCCTGGGAGAAAAGATGCTTACAATGTCAAAATTCAGATAGGGGACATGCCATATACCTATTTTGCTCTCAGGCAGAAAGTTCTTTCATGAAGTACAGATAGAATTAGGCAATTATCATGCAGTTGCTACTAATAATATGACAGAAATCATAGTTCCACAATTTACCTTTTTTGAGAACTTTTTCATAAACTACGTCTTGTGATTTTCAGAGTCCAAGAAGTTAAGATAATTCATGTTTTTATAATTATTTTACAGAAGCAGAAAAGCAGTGTAACTTGCCCCAGATCACAAAAGCAAGGCACACAAAATTGACCAATTTTAGGTTCCACAAACTTTGGTTCTGTAGTCTTTCTGTTGTAGCTCCCTGTTACTTTCTCTAGGCTATAGTTTTGCAATAGTAGACTAGGAAAAAGAAAACTTTTTTTTTTTTTTTTTTTTTTGGTGGTGAAAAGTATCTGGGATCCATGCTCAAATTAGCAAAATGAAATGCAAAGGAAAAAAACTTCCCTGAGAAATGAGAAAAACAGACATTACCATGAATAATAGAAACAAACCATATAGCCTTGGGAGAGAAATCCTGTGGGCAGGTTGATCAACTTGGACCAAAGCAGTAGCAGATGGCCAGAGGGAGTTGCTCTGCTGACAGCAGAGAAGAGAGAGACAGAGGGTGAGAATTGTTGCAGAAAACTAAAGTCCCTGCAGAGAGTCACTGCAAATGCCACCTGCTGGATGGGGCACTGGCCATGCAAAGTTATGGGGACCACCTACAAGAGTCCACACCCACCAAAGGGATCAACAGAGAAGGGTGTAAAATCAGATATGCAAGCTGTTGAAGTGGACTGCCTCAACAGAGCTTAATGTCCTCCCTCCCTTCCTCTCTCCCTCTTGTTTTCCCACTTCACTTAACCTTTACCCTCATTTGGAGCAAGTCTGGAAATGAGATTTACAGGAAAAGCTAAACAAGAAAGAAATCTCTTTTCTGTTATCCAATTTTGAGCGAGTCACTCAAAGAATAAGATTTGCTCCATGAAATGGGGCAAAACCAAAGCATCCTTAATAGCTTGGTCTGGTAAAGTGGAGGCACAGCTAGAGAATCTATTCTATTCATCGTAGGATGGAAGGAGGACTACAGGGCTAAAGCTGGTCACTACAAATCTTGTAGGGTGGCTGGAAATTGATGTGTGGGTTTTAAAGAGGAGAGGAAGCAGAAGAATTGGATCAAGATCCCAGTGCTGTGAACAGGAAATGAGAATCTAGCGCTGAGCTTTATGGAGGTGTGGTCTTGGCAGAACACCTCAACAGCCTTGATAAGAAGAAGAAAGATGGGGATTAAAAGGGATGGAGGGAACAAAATCTGAACCAGAACCCACCTGGCAATTTCTCTCTGAAGTACCCGTCAAGGTCAGAGTGAAGAAACAGACTAGAGATGTGAAAATAGTTTTTGTAAAATTTCTTATCAGTTATTAAGTGAACTGATTATTTTTAAACACATTCTAAGCATGCAAAACTATATTCAAGTAAGATGTATGTACTATAACCAAGCCCCAAACAAAAAGACAGGTCAGTTCACCCCAGGGCAGCTGTATTTTTTTTTTTTTAAGACATTCACATTCATCACAAGTATCACTCGAGAGTTGTGGGCATGATAAAAATCCACACTCTCTCATTCCCAGTCTTGACTGTCCTGTTGCTATTGGTGTATGCTTTTTCTTTATAAGATAAATGATGGGTGATTTCATTAGTGGGGACGCCAGGAAGCTGTCTTAACATTTAGAACAGAATCACAGAGTTTAGCACTGGAAAGGTCCTTGGAGGTCATCTCATCATACCTCTTATGTTTACAGATGAATAATACAATGGCCAGAGAGAATGAGAAGCCATTTATCTAACACTTCTTAAGAGAAGCCATCACCATATACATTAGGACTTATTCAGCTAGTTGAGGTTTAAAGTTGGAATGGAAGAGTTCAAGTCCTGAACTCTACAGTGTTCTCCATTCCCTAAACCATTGTCTTCTACACAGATGACAATGACTAGTCACCAAAGGGGTGATACTTCAAGAAGAAGACTTTCAAAAGCAGCAAAGACAATTCTCTATTCATGTCTCCTGGAAGAGACACACACAGAGATGTGGATACAGGAAACAGTGCAGGGGATGGCAGGTAAGGAAGCAAGCTAGAGGAGGGGACATAGCTGGCTACTTACTAAGCTGTACATGACACATGCATACTACATCTAAAGTGAAGCTGATGCAACTCACTATTCAAACTCATCAAATATACCTAAAAATTGCATGTCTTTTTATTTAAAATATTTTCGACCAAGAAAGTTAGCCTTTTATGTATTTTTCTATTAATATTATGTTCAAGAAAATACTTAGAAATGAGAATATAAACTCCCAACTGACTTTATATAAATGAATTCAACTATACAAGGATGCTACTTAGTAGTTCTAGGATAGTTATTTCATTGCAATCTGGGCCATGCTTGAACATGTTAAAGGGGAAAAAATCTCTTTCTCACCTTAGGCTAAGTCCTCAGTCATGCTCCCCACCTTTGACACACTTTATAACTAACTCTTACCATTCTCCAGAAATAAGTAAAGGAAATTCTCAAAGAGAACAAAAAATGTTAAAGAGAGGAAGGAGAAGAAAGCAAAAGTCACTTAAGCAAGATAATCCAGGGAAAATAAAAACTGATATGAGATTTAGGTCTTCTTCGTGTACTGAGATAGCGTCAAATCCCATCATCAGCCATAACTGGATATACCACAGGAAGAAGCAGCAAGCCTTTGAAGACCAGAAGCTTGAGTACCACATCTCCCTTGTGTTGAACACCTGATATAGGTCGGTCCTTGTGCAAATATTTTGCATGTTTTGCCCACTCACTTCTTCCAATGATCATGTGATATAAATAGTGCTCTCTATTATTTAAGAGATATAAAGACATAGGCTCAGATAAATTATGTGATTTATAAAAGGGTCCTGGCATGACTGGCTCTCTTCGTCTGTAAAGTTAAGGGCATGACACCAGCAAACAGAGATGGTTTTAGCTCTTCTTTTCCTATTCAAAAAAATAAATGTTGGCAAGGATGTGGAAAAAAAAGGATATACTCATATTGCTGATGGGACTGCAAATTGGTGCAACAAGTGGAGAGAAGTATGGAGATTCGTTGATAAAACTGGAATAACCATTTGACCTAGTTGTCCCACTCCTCTGAATATAGGCAAAGGATTTAAAATCAGTATACTACAGTGACACAGCCACATCAATGTTTATAGCAGCTCAATCCACAACAGCTAAGCAATGGGGCCAACCCAGGTACCTTTCAATAGATGAATGGATAAAGAAAATGTGGATATATACACAATAGAGTATTACTCTGTCATAAAGAAGAATGACTTTATGACATTTGTTAAGTAAATGGATGGATCTGGGGACTATCATGCTGAGTACAATAAAACAATCCCAAATAATCAAAGGTTGAATGTTTTCTCTGATATGTGGAAGCTAACCCCCATGGGGGGAGGGTGGAGAATAGAAATTCAGGAGAGTAGACAAAGGGGAATGCAGGGAAGGGAGAGGGATAGGAAAAGGAAAGACCGTGGAATGAATCTGACCTAATTTTCCTATGTACATGTATGAATATATCACAGTAAATCTCACCATCATGTACATCCACAAGAAATTAATTTTAAAAAAATCTATGAGTAAATGGCAGAAGACTCAGTGGAGGAAAGGCAGCAGGAGGTAGGAGAGGGAAGGGGAAGGTGAGGTCCTGGGGACTGAATTATAACAAGATGTATTCCATGCTTTTATAATTATGTCAGAATGGATTCTACTGCCACGTATAACTGAAAAGAACCGAAGGGGGGAAAAAGAAGAAGTGATAACATAAGTCATATTTTTGGCAGTGTCAGGTCTAAATGCAGAACACAAATTATATGTCTTGTGACCACAGCACATTTCTTTATACCAAGTGATCTAAAATAAAACTGTTTTAACCTCCCCTCCAATAAAAATTTTTAAAAATAATCAAGTTAAGCATGTACCTATTATGTTACATAGTAATTGTGCTAAACACTTTAGATGCAC